AAAAAAAAGAGTAAGAAGAACTGCTAAAGCTAATACTTTTTGCCCGACAAGATAATTTTACAATTAGACATTGACCAAGGAGGCCACAACCGCAATTTGGATGTGGGTTCTTCTACCCAAACGGCGTGTCGCGCTGCCCGCAGCTGTCGCGCGTAATCGCGCGGTGTGCAGATTACGGTAACTGCTAGAACCGCTGCCTTCTACCGTGGGACATTGGGAAGCCTTCCAGGCTGCTGGAACCGAAGTAATATGGATAGATATGCTCTCCTACTATTTTCACAGGATTACAATAGTAAAATCGGTAATTGACATTTTTTCTCCCACGGAGAACAAGACAGAACTGGGCAGCACTGGAAAAAAGAAAGTTGTTGGTTTGATAGGTTACTGACATATTGAAGTGAACGAGGCTACAGTAGAAGAGCAGAATCACCACGAACCAATTGGAATAGGACGCGGACAGAATGAGCTCCCTCTGCTGTTGGACCCTACCGCGATGGCGGCAAGGATGGCGGCGATGCGGTGGCGCCGGCATTCCATTGGCGCCTCTATGGGGGCAGCAGCGTTGCTATCTCTCCACAACGATGAGCTGATAGCGCTAGTCAACTGCCTTAGACGACCATCTGCCCTGTATATTTCAATCGCGTTGTGCACTACTTCGATTCCCACACCCATTCACTTAGTTATTCCATTGCATTCGACTTCTATCTGTAAACCCTTCTCGATTTATCGATGACTGTTTGTCATTGATTCAGCACCAACACCTGGCACTTCAATTCCGTTCATGGATGACACCTATCACCCCAAGCGATTTCAATGGATCCCACCCAATGGGCGGGACCGACAGCAAGCCCACTCGGCGACGTCGCCTCTGGCAGCCATGTCGGGTGCTATTTGTTGGAGATTTCCCGGCGTCACGACGTTAATTCTGCTCTTTGTCACAGCCTCAACCGTTGCATGCCGTCCTTCGGTTGGCGGTGAGACTCCGTCCGATGCTGCTGAACCGCTTTCAGTTGCCGACGGTTACATTCATTTCTCCGTAGCCAACGATTCACGACTACGAGAAAAATCTCGCAAAGCGTTCGAGTCGTTGATAAGCGAGCCCAGCCAGCACGAGTACTCCTCTCAGGAGATCATATTCAGACCACATTCTGACGTCAATGAAGGCAACAGCATACCGGAGAATATGCCGGAAAAGAAAGAACGAAAGCCTGGTGGGTTCTCTTGAACCTTGTTTATACCGTCTTTTACCTTGGATTGAACTGAGAATGTTTTTTTTCTGGCTGATCGATAATCAGTCAATAGATATAGTTCGTGAACTAATCAGAAGTATGCAAACCGAATTTTTGTTGGAAAAATTAGATTAAAGAAAATCGCAATCACTAAAATCATTTTCAACTCGTCTCGAATTCCAAATCAGCTTCCGAATGTCATGGAAAAAGCCCCAAACATCAACAGCATCCATTATTTTCCTTTCCGGTTGTCCTTTTTTTTCAGAGTTGAACATTTCTTGCTCGACTTACTTCGTTTTTCTCGACGCTTTTATTCCTATTCTTCTTCAAACAGAACGCGACGCTGGCCAAATCGGTCATGAGCCCTTAGATTTTTCTGATATGAACAACTCGTCAATCTGCTTTCGTTAGGCGTATTGCCAGCATCTGAGTGCCTTTATAGAGAAAAATACGCAATCAGTCGCTTTAGCAACTTTGAGGAGAACTTGGTTACGCGATGGGTACTATGAATGTTATAAACCTTCCCTTGTGGTTGATAGCATGAAATGGTCTACGGGCAACGTAAAAATTGGTTCGTTTTCACTTCCACGACACTTTAACATCTCTTCAGCTCTGTCTCGAACTTCTCTAGTTCTTAGCATTCCATTTTTCCTCATCTTTAATATGACCTATTACTAACCTTTTCTTCTTGACGATTTCTCGCTTTATTTTCTCTTATACCTTGCCTTCTCTCTTGCGCCCTTAACAGGCCTCTTGATAGTTTTCATTCTTAATTGAGGTCTGTAGAGTAATATAAGATTAAAATTCAGTGGTAAAATATGATAGTAAATCAGCGTAAAACTCACAGCACCGAAAATCAGCTAAAGCGAAGGTAATCCTCACAAATAAACAATGAATGAAAATCAACTGGACACCTTTTACGATGTTCAGGTACCAAAGAATGCCCAGGAAATTCAAAAGAGGTATTGGGTTGATTGTTCTCAGTAATATTCCGCCTTATCATCTTCATGAAATCCTCTATCACCCTTTCCTGTTCGACTCTCTTAACTATAAACTGAGTGATAGCGATCGACGATCTTCTACAGTGTTAATATATCGTTTGCGGTTGTTATCAGAGGCCCAAGGAAGAAATTCGCTCTCGATATACCGCTCANAGTAGAAATCCCATCGGTCGTGACTGTGGAAGGTCTTATTCTGCTGTTATGATTTCTTGTTCTGAGAGAAATCGGAGTACCCTCTCTAAGGTCAAAGTTTTCATCTTCAGACGGGCTCTTGAATGTCATGAGAGCTGGAAACGATCATCAGAAGGGTCACAGGGTAGATTCAATTGCCTCGAAATTGTTTCTCTTTTTCCAATGCCTCTGAAAACATTTTCGGAAGCATTTGAAGTAAACCTGGCCTACCCTATAAATTAAGGAGTCCGATATTTGCTCAAACCAATGATCCCATCTTTTGAAGGCCATTGCTTCCCCTATGATCTGCCATGAAATGGCGGAGAAATTTATTGGCCTAACCCATAAAGATAACCGATCCTCGAAAATGCATAAGGTGTCGGAAGCCTTGTCGGAGTGGGACACTGGGAACTGAACAGCAAGACACAGTGAGAGAGATCGTTTATAAAATGAAAAAGAGGCGGGAGTTCATAGTTAGGAGAGTATGGTTTACATCATCATAGAAAGCGAAGAAAGAAACTTTTTTGTGTAACTGGACACTTTGCTGAGCTGAGCTCCAGATTTAAGCAGAAGACCAGACTCACATCAAAGCTTAACCATCGACTGGTTTCGAGGTCAATTTAGAGCGGCAGAAGATGCCACAAACAGAACAGTTATAAAAAAAGTGGGCTCCGCAAATGAGCGAGATCGACGCTAGGGAAAAGCTTCGGAGTTAAATATAAGGTCATACAATTACTCCGACCTCATTAAATATCAGTGTAAATTGAGGACCAAGTCCTGTTCAATGACTGAAAAGCGGCGACAAACGTTTGTTCTCTTATATAGTTGTTTTTCATGATAATTGGACCGTAGTCATTGAAGTATAAACGCAATTTCATACAAACGTAATTTCATACAATTTTTTCTCAAGTAAAGAGTCGGTTACTAGATAAATCCACATACACCTACTGTTACTGTGTTACTCGAAATTCCTACGCTTTAGGTCGACGGAAACCCATAGTTGATGGCCGAAATCAGGCTTTGATAACACTGAAAGACCCGCGAACAAGAGAAACGCAACGATGTGAAAGTGCAAAATTTAAGCAACGAGTGAAAGCACCCGGTTGCCTTACTAAAGTCATAGTAAACAGGTAAGCGACAGCTTTTTTCATTTGCGGTTACTTCTTTAATTGCTGTACTAATCAAGAAAAATTTTCTCTCAATATGATATTTCACAAGGAAATCTTTTTTCACATGTGAATCTTAGCCGATGTTGCACATTTTCTTTGCTCCCACGATTTCTTCATACGTTTCCAAAAAATCATTTGGGAGAACATCTGCTGAACCTGTGGTCACAGTATTTAGCGCAATACTGCGAAAAATTTCCCTAAAAACCAGTCCCAGATGTTGTTTACTCTCCTCCTTGACATGTTCACCAACCCAACTTCTTTTCATAGCTAAAACAAGCAGTTGATTCAGTATAAGTATAGACCATGATAAAGTCAGAAACTCTGGAAAGCCCAAACTCGTTATTAAATTGATAACAGTCATAAATAAAATAATTAATCGTTGAACATAAATTACAGTTCAACAAGAAAAAGAGTAGTGACTAAACTGTGGACCTTGCTCTGTATGGGTGTTAACGTTAAAGCGCCAGTAAGTCATGGCACCCACACTTCGTTTTCTCCGCTTATTAAACCTTTGCTTCCTAATGCATGTCGATCCCTGGGCTTTTGTTCTTCATGTTCGAATAATTTCGGCTATAAAAGAAGTATCAATTTCCGGAACAGCACTGTAAATGAGAAATATAAGCGGTGTACTTCCGGAGGGCGTGGAATTCCTGTCTTTCATGGCGTGCGCCTTATCACCCGAAGAATTTTTACCATCGGTTACATCTTGTCGCTGTTCTCCTGGCTGACACTTCATCTCTCCTCTCTGCAGCCACCTAACTGGAATATGGCAGTAGCGGCTCCCGTTATTGTCATATTTCACTTTTGTGCTGTCAATTATGGCTTGATTCCTTCGTAATGGGACTGATAAAATCAGAGGCAGAGGGGTGTCGGATATGCCCACACGCGTGGAAAACATTAAACATCGCTCTGGGAAGCTCTGGGAAACTTTGAAGGAAGAACGGAACAATGTGATGTTCTCCGGATAGTGATGTCGAATGACGTCGGAATAAATGATCATGTCCGCAAGCACGGACTTCCTCAAATGACGTTTTGTTTTGGCATGTTTGCCCACAATCCCAACCAAAGTAAGAAAAACGAGAAGACAAACGTGAATACTTAATGACAAAGCTAAAAATAATCATTTGCCCAAGGAGTCCTGATAAATTGATAAGAACATATTCACGTGCTCTCAATAGATCAGCAGTGTCCTTTTCATATCAATAAGCGAAAATCAGAAATCTACAAATACCCTTCGACTTTCTGAGTGCAAGCCAGTAGAAAGTTCTTTGAGGGATGGAAACCTTTTCTCCCCAGTGTTGACCCCGCGCCGTCACAGTCCTTTGTTTTTGTTGGTTGTTGCCATCTCCCATCTGATGACATCTTCATCTTGAATGATTGGCAATAAGTAAGGTCACTTGTGCTTGGGTCCGCACTGAATAGAGCACTGGAAGTGAGACTTCTTGGGGAAGGCCCAGATAACCACGAAGACAAATATTTCCCNCCCGATGGTGGATTTTACAAAGAATAAGGCCTTTGCAAATTAGTATGAGTCACGTTATTCATACAAAATGAAATGTAAGTAGGATTGGGTAATTAATTAAGTGATAGATGTAAGTGAAGTGAAATATACAATACCGCACATATGAGCAACTGTTCGTATAAGTCACTGAAAATGTTTTGGGACGGCATATCGAAGTATTCGAAACACTTCTTTTGTGTTGTTGTTTTTGTTTTTGTTGTTGTTGCGTGTATCCAGTCTTGAAAAACTTCGGATTAAATAACTTAACTAATTTGATCAATTCCGATTAATTCAAGTATAGAGGTCAGACGTGGCGTAGTTGCAAGCGATACGCTATCACAGACTACATGGTCCGATTTCGAATCCCGGATCGGTACAGGCCTATGACAACCAAGCCTTTCATCCCTCCGGGGAGGCTGACTGGCACCAGATTGGTCTGAAAGGATAAAAGGACTGACTTGTACATCGCTTAGCCACCACAAGTCATTGTCTGGGCCATTTACGCATTCAAATGCCACAGCAATTCTGAATGGAAATCGAACGCCGGGGCACACCCCAAAAAAAGGGGTTTGGTTAACGCTCACAACTACTATTAATCAATACTTTAGTATTTTGCCTATAATTGTAGTATTGGTGACCATACGGAATTTCTTCGAAAAATTCTGCGGGAAAAAAAACTGAGGTCTACAAAATTACCTGATCAAGAAAATTGATTACGAAATTGGTTAGATAATATTTGCAGTTTTC